AGAATACATGTGTATGAACAAAAGGGAGGGAAGTGGAACAGTGAGGTTAGAGGGGGCATAGGTCAGGAAGGTGCAGGAGTTTAAGTATTTGGTGTCAACAGTCCAGTGTGATGGGGAGTGTGGGAAAGAGGTGAAGAGGTGAGTGCAGATTGGAATGGGTGGAGACTGTAGCAGTGAGGAAAAGACAAGAGGCAGAGATGGAGGTAGCAGAGATGAGGATGTTGAGGTTCTGTTTAGGAGGGACCAGGATGGACAGGATTAGGAATGAGCACATCAGAGGGACAGCTGAGGTCGGCTATTTTGGGGACAGGGTCAGAGAGGCCAGATTAAGATGGTTTGGACACAAGCACACCCAGTGTACACCAAGCACAATCAGAACACATAATGTATTATATTATATTGTCAGAACATTAATTACACCCATAACCTCATTGAACCCTGTAAATATTTGCTCTGTCCAGTGTGTAATTTGGGATGAATAATTATAAATCCATTTCATATTCTTCAGAGTTCTTGGGGAAGGAGGATTACTTAGTCAACATTTCATTTCAGATACTTTATAAGGCAAGGAAGAAAAAACAGACACATGTAAAATGAAGTTAGATTTCAGCTTTATTGAAGTAATTTCACTTTGAATGGAAAGGTAGACAACATATAAATATTGATTATAAAAAAAGAGGGACCCCACCCACCTCCAGCATGGACTGTTTATTCCACTAGCCTCTGGCCGGAGGCTCAGGAGTCTGAAATGCAGGACCTCTACACTGAAAAACTCTTTCTTTCCCTCTGCCATCAAGACACCTGAACAGTTGACAGGAGTTATTACCAGAAAATATGCCATGTACTGACGACCTGTACTGTTACATTCTCAGTTTGCACATGCATAATTGCACATTGATACTACTGCACATGCAGCATACACTGTCTTATCATATTTTTATATATTGTTATTATCTCTGCATTTGCTGTTTAAAGTACTTTAGATCTTGTGTTACTTACTCATCTACTTTATATTTCATTTGTATTGTGTGGCATTCATGGCAAAGTAAGATTTACATTGTCCTAACTGTGCACATGATCTGTATAATATTTAGAGGCGTTCCTAATATTGTAATCTTCTCATATGCATGTAGCTGCAAAGGCCCCATGAACGGATTTTTGTAGATGAAGCAGGATTCAATCTTACAAAGAGAAGGAGAGGGAGAAACATAATTGGCCAACACGCAATAATGGAAGTCCCTGGTCAGTGTGGTGGCAATGTCACCCTTTGTGCAGCTATAAGCAATCATGGGGTTCTCCATGCACATGCAACTCTGGGGCCATACAGTACTGAACATCTTCTCACATTTCTGGATGGTCTAAGAAATGTCTTGTTTGAGCAAGAGCAACAGGATCATCAGCAGGGAATGCAACATGTCTCTCGTGGTTTGGGACAATGTCAGCTTTCACCGTGGTGTCCAAATACGCAAGTGGTTCAACAACAACCAGCAATTTTTAAATGTGTTCCTTCCACCATACAGCCCTTTCCTCAACCCAATAGAAGAGTTTTTCTCAGCATGGCGGTGGAAAGTCTATGACTGAAACCCATATACCAGGGAAAATCTCTTACAGGCCATGGAACTGGCCTGTGGTGACACAGACATGCAGTCTTGTCAAGGCTGGATCCACCACACCAGAGGGGTTTTTTGATGTAGAGTCTAATAAATGAGCTACAGTGTCTATATATGATTGACTCGTGTGTATGATCTGAAAGCATTGTTTGATTTTGAGTGCTGGTGAAGTGGTTTTGAAGCAATTGTTTAATTTTGCCAGAAGAGTCAGAGGTTTTGAGAATTTAGTTTGAGTATTTGGATTTGTGTTTAAGGTTTTGAGAAAATAAGTGATGGTTTCAAGAAATGTGCTTTAGCAATTCAGAAAAATATCAGGGTCTGCTATTTCATAATGAAGACATATGTCACCCAGTGCAGTGATGTGTTTCCTTAATGTGTTTTTAATTGTTTCTGAACAACAACATTTCCAGTTCCATGGCACAGATGAATAAGCTAATCCAGGACTGACAGACATTAATCATACGTAGAGGCAAATCATTGTTTGTTTTAATCTCTATATGGGGGCTGTTGAAAATACTGTTAATATAGAAAATGACTGCCTTATCCTTTAAGGTGAGTGAGGCAGATTTCACTGCACATTTAACAGACTTGACGTTGAACTAGAATGACTTCTCCAGTGGATGAATTTGTCTGTAGAAACATTACTAACACTGGTCCAGTGTACCAGCCTGACACTGCTACAGGAGCTCTACCTCAGCTTCGAGTGTTGTCTTGTACCTGAACAAGTAGCAGCAGAATGTGAGGCTGAGCATGAGGATGAAGAGGCCAACGCCTAATATGATGATGTAGACTTTGAGCGGCAGATGGAAGAGCTCTTCAGATGTCATCTTGCAGTAGGGGTGGGAATTTTGCAATGCAAGGTTACACAGACACCCTAAGGAGAAGGGACACATGAAAAGAGAGACCAGATAATGGAAGCATTAAGTACAAATACTGCAGAAACAACATTTTTGGCTACCAGGAAGATAAAGCACTTAAGTTTGCCCCATTATTACCACAGTATTATAGTACTCACACAAGATGTTTTCTAATATGAAAATGTTCACTTTTTATATTATGATTTTCTCAGATTTGCATTTTTGTCAGGGTGAAAAGCCTCTAAAACATCTTTTAGGCAATAATATTATACCAATATAAATATTAATACATGTTCAATTCAATTCAAACTTTCTACTGATGGTAAAGTATTAGCAACTTTGACAATAACTACATCTGGGTATTAATGCATCACATTAACACATAGCATTTTTCATGAGAGGTTAGTATTGGTCTGTGGGTATATGACCCTAGTCCAGTGTTGTGAGCCAGCTTTGTCTTCATACAAAGAACAAGGCACTCATGAATATAGCCTACTGTGGGTAATAATGCCAATACATATTTATGTTTTCAAATGCATGTAGAAAATGTAAAAATAAAAAGTCATTTAAAACATGAACAGCCACAGTAAATAAAGCCACAGTCAGATATCTCAACTGTGAGGGGTGTGGCCTACATAATGTGACATTTGGAAACCCAGCACTAATCACCAATAAAGAATGTATGATTCTTTGCACTACACAGACAAAAGGTTTTGATTTGATTTGATTTATTCTTTCAAACATGCAGAACAAATGACAACACACACATAATTACACAAATCCAACCAATGCTAATCTAGAATCAGTTTGCTTATACCTAGTACATGTTTGAATGGAGTAGGAAGAAGTCAGACTTATCCAGTCCTACCCCATAACATCATCTTATACAAAACATTTCATGCATCATTGACTGCAAGCAGTATCTTTACATAGGTAATTCTCTTCTTCACCAGACAAGTAATACACAGAAAATTTAAAACAGAATGTTTCATTCATGCATTCTTGATTAAATCTCTTATTCTTGCATATATTTTGAATGACACATACATTTATATTTATATTTAAACTCCTCAATTCTAGTACTGTTTTTCATGTCCACACTTACATTATTCCACAATTTGACCCCACTTATAGAAATGCAAAATCTTTTTTTTGGTTGTACGTATAGCATGAACTTTTAGATTTAACTGACCCCTTAAATTATATCCTCCTTCCCTTTCATTAAATAACTTTTGGATTCCACCAGGTAATAAGTCGTTCCT